GGGCTGATTTTCTGTGGGACATCTGCCCGAGGGCTGGCAGGTTGGGATCCTTCGGCAGGAAAAGAGGGGAGTGGAGGGCAGCCATCCAAAATGCCATTTTTCATGAGCTGCTTGCAGTGTGGCAGCAGCCATGTTGGCCCAATGACGTGGGAGAGACGAGGTGGGCAAGGTTGGTTTTTTTTAAGTCAACTTGTGTTGGTCAAAGACACAAGCTTTTTGGTCTCCATAGAGTTCTCCTTTGGGGCTCTTCTTCAGGACGCCGGGAAAATGCTCGGTGCAGCTTGAGAGCTTGTCTCTCTCACCGGCAGAAGTTGGTCTAATAAAAGTTCTTCCCTCCCCTACCTTCTCTGTCTGCCACTGAAAAACAATGAGTCATAATTGCCCCGGATTGAAAAGGGGAGTTGTGTGGGGGAGGTTCTGTGGCCCACAAGGTGAAGGAGGTCAAATCTGGAGGATCATGATGGTCTCTTCTGATCTTAAAGTCTAATGAGTCGTGCCTGGAACAGGGCTCCATGTGTTGCTGTTCAAGAACAGTCTCTTCTTCCAAGTTTGTTGCCATGGTGACCACCTTTCTTGGCTAGAGGGAAGGTCCAGAAATGTAGGGATGTTCTCAGGGTGGGTGGCATGAAACATAAGAACGGCCAGGCCAGGTCAGACCAAAGGTCCATCTAGCCCAGTATCCTGTCTGGCAACAGTGGCCAATGCCAGTTGCCCCAGAGAAAGGGAACAGAACAGGTAATCCTCATGTGATCCCTCTCCTGTCACCTATTTCCAGACAAACAGAGGCTAGGAACACTATTCCTACCCATCCTGGCTAATAGCCATTGATGGACCTAACCTCCATGAATCTTTCTAGCTCTTTTTTGAACCTTGTTAAAGTCCTAGCCTTTAGCACATCCTCTAGCAAGGAGTTCCACAGGTTGACTGTGCACTGGAAGACGCCACAGGGAGACTTTCCTTAGGCCACATCCTTCACTCAAATTCAGCATTAACACAGCGGGACTAGATCCCCTTCTCTTGATGTTTGAAACCCATTCTGTCCACGTGAGGGGCCAAAATGCCTGAGATTGGGGTTGCCCATTCTGGTTGGCCATATTCCTGGAGGATTCCTCATGTTACTTCATCTTTCATTCCTGGGGCAATCCAGAAAGGTTGGTGAGCTGGGATGGAGCAGAGGGCTGTAAAAGATACGCTCAGAAGCAGAAAGACCCATTCTAATTCTTATACCTGAGGAACTCCTACAGGTCCCAACCCAGACTGCATGGCAAACCCATGGTGAGGATGCTGTACATTGGTATAGCAAGTCTCCGTCCTGGCCTGAAAGCGTTTGCAATGGAAAAAGACAAGCCAAGCACAGTAAGGGATTATTACCTCCTTTGTGCAGATGGAAAGCCAAGGCTCAGATCTGCAAAGGTATTCCCGCTACCTATCTCCTATTGATTTCAATAGGAGCCAGGCTTTGGAATACTCGAGCATCTGGGCTTAAGTGACTTTCCTAGGGTCGCACAGGGAATCTGTTGCAGAGCTAGGAACTAAAGCCAGATCTCCTGAGTCCCAAACTCTTCTTGCTATTAACATGGCAGCCTTTAAGGCTGCCTTCCCCTGCTCCCCACCACTGAGTTAGATGGATAGCTCTGCAGCTAAGTAGAAGAAGGAAAACTCTGTGGGTCTTGGCAAAGGAGCCGGGGGGATTAGTCCCGCATCAGCTATTGTTACGATTTAGCTTGGCTTCCCTGCTTTCTGTCCAGCTTGCAACTGGTTCCTTCTGCTGCTTGCTCGTCCCCCTCCAACCTGATCCTCTCCCCCTCCCCTAAATTTGGAAGGTGATTACACTCCAAACGAGTGGCTGCCAACCAGCCGAGGGTCACGCCGAACATGCTGGCACCGCTTTTGCCAGGTTTGTTATGTTAACGGACCCACCATAATCCGCTTTGCAACATCATAATCCGCCGTGCTGGATTCCGCAGTCAGGAAATCAGAGCACTTTTCCAGGGGAGCTGGCCATCAAAGACTTTCGTTTCGGGAAAGAGGGGTTGGGGAGCAGTGTGTGATAGTGGAGATAAAGGGGCAGGAACACAGCTGGGTTGGGGCCATCAAGGAGCACCCTAGTGCAGAGGAATGGTGCACAGATCGCACCATTTTATCGGGGCAGTGTGAGCGTACGGAGGGACCAGTTCCAGCGATCCCCCAGATTTCGGGACTTGGCTTGTCCCTAGTTCCTGCACCCAGCGCTCTCTGTGCTCCCTTCCCTGTACATCCACGCACAAGCCAGAGAGACAGCCTTGCTCGCTACCTGGAAAAGCCCCATCCACTAGTGTATTGAGGACTGTGTTGGATTTGCAAGTGAGCACCTTAAAGGGGGAAGGGGTACCACTCATGTTCGCAGACCAGAGGGCTCTGTAGGGCCAGATGTGCTCAGAGCCAGGCTGGAAAAGACCATCTTAAACCCCCACGAAAGCTCATCACCTAATAAACTATCTTGTTAGTCTTTAAAGTGCTATATAATTTTTTCCCTTTTGTTTTACCAAGATCAGACTAACATGGCTACCTCTTTATTACTTTCCATCTTAAAGCAAGGGAGTGTGTGCTGTATCTCACTGCCTTGGGGAACAGCCTGTTTTCTCTCTATCTGGGTTTAGGGTCTTGTTATCTTACGTTCTGAGAAATAAGATCGTGTTACATTGCGTCCTTTCAGCAAGAGTAGTGACGTTTTTGTCTAATTTCTCATGGGACTGCTCTGCCTGGATCAGCAGAGAGGACTGGTCCGGTAGTTAAAGTGCTACTGTAGAGAGAGGGATTCAGTACCTCTGGAACCGATTTCCTCTGTGGCCTTGGGCAAGTCACATAGGATATATCTACACTTGCACCCTCTTTCGAGAGAGGGTTGCAAATGAAGACATTCGAAATTGCAAATGAAGCTGGGATTTAAATATCCCATGCTTCATCTGCATATTCACGTTATGGCGCTATTTCGAAATAACAGACGTTGTTAAGACACAGTTATTTCAAGAGAAAACCCTTCTCTCGAAATAACTGGTAAACCTAGTATGAGGAATAAGGGTTATTTTGAGAGAAGGGTTTTCTCTCGAAATAACCGCAACTTAACAGCGTTTGTTATTCCGAAATAGCGCTATTTTGAAATAGCGCCATAACACGCATATGTAAATGAAGCGTGGGATATTTAAATCCTGGCTTCATTTGCGATTTCGAATGTCTTCATTTGCATCCTTCTCTCGAAAGAGGGTGCAAGTGTAGACATACCCATAGATTCTCGGATGCTTTTCTCCATCTGTAAAACGGAGAGCATTGTAGCCTAGATCGGATAAGCCATCTATCTGGGGGTATGTCTACACTACCCCGCTAGTTCGAACTAGCGGGGTAATGTATGCATACCGCACTTGCTAATGAAGCCCGGGAAATTCAAATCCCGGGCTTCATTAGCAAGTGCGGTATGCATACATTACCCCGCTAGTTCGAACTAGCGGGGTAATGTATGCATACCGCACTTGCTAATGAAGCCCGGGAAATTCAAATCCCGGGCTTCATTAGCAAGTGCGGTATGCATACATTACCCCGCTAGTTCGAACTAGCGGGGTAATGTATGCATACCGCACTTGCTAATGAAGCCCGGGATTTGAATTTCCCGGGCTTCATTAGCATAAGCGGGGAGCCGCCATTTTTAAATCCCCGCTGCTTCGAACCCCGTGTAGCCGCGCTACACGGGGTTCGAAGCAGCGGGGATTTAAAAATGGCGGCTCCCCGCTTATGCTAATGAAGCCCGGGAAATTCAAATCCCGGGCTTCATTAGCAAGTGCGGTATGCATACATTACCCCGCTAGTTCGAACTAGCGGGGTAGTGTAGACATACCCAAAGGTACTTAGATGTCTTCCATTACCACAGCTTCTGAGGCCTCACGCTCTTTAATGCGAGGCTCACTGTGAGGCAGGAGTGTAACCCACACACCTAGGATACGTCTGTACTGCACGTCTCTGGCACAAAAGCCTATGCAAATAAAGCACAGATTAGCATATTGCCGCATTTCATTTGCATAATTAATTGGGGCCATTTTTTGTGTAAGTGGCTTTTGCGCAAAAAGGAGCTGAGTAGACATAGCCCTAGTGTGGTTCACTGTCCCGTGAAGTGGCACTTGGACCACTTACAGCCAGATATAAGAACAAGGGAGCTCTACAGCCTAAGCTAAGAGCCAGCTGGCTTTATAGCTCAAGCTGTAGAGGCTCCTACACTGAAGTCCCAGGTTCAAATGTGCTGGGTGGTGGCTACAGGAGCACAGACCAACCAGACCCCTGCTTTCCTTGGTCCAGCAGGGTGACCTACAGGCCAAGGCTCAATTTATGGTTCTGGGTTCAATTCCCAGCTCTACCCTGTGCTGTCAATCACAATCGCCGACTCAGCCTCCTAAGGGATGTAGGTTTCAATCCCACAAGCTACTTCATGCTTAGTTTTGTTCCTAAGCTTCAGTAGGCTTTGTTAAGTGCTGAAATTCAAGCATGGGCTTAAGAGCTTGCCTAGCTTGGGACCAGAAAGCACAGCACTGGCAGGCGTGAACTCTGAGATCCTATACTCATGGAGGCAGTTTAAGAACCCGAACAGAGCAAGTGAAACTAAAAATATAAGAATGGCCATATTGGGTCAGACCAAAGGTCCATCTAGCTGAGTGTCCTGTCTTCTGACAGTGGCCAATGCTGGGTGCCCCATAGGGAATGAACAGAACAGAACAGGGAATCAAATGATCCATTCTTGTCACCTTGGACAAACAGAGGCTAGGGACACCATTCCTACCCACCCTAGCTTATAAGTATTGATGGACCTAATCTCCATGAATGTATCTAGTTCTTTTTTGAACCCTGTTAAAATCCTGATCTTCACAACATCCACAGGCAAGGAGTTCCACAGGTTGACACTGCGCTGTGTGAAGCAAAACTTCCTTTTACTTATTTGTTTGTCTAATGAGTGTCCTTTCCTCCTCCTTTCTCTGCAGCTCGGGGAAATCTCCAGCCATGGATGCAAGGGCTCATTGCAGTGGCTGTTTTCCTAGTCCTGGTGGCCATCGCTTTTGCCGTTAATAAGTTTTGGTGTCAGGAAAAAGAGGAAGTTCTTCTCCCCCCCCCCCTTTGTTCCATTTGATTTAGGCTCTGTTGATGTTGCAGAGAGTTATCTACGTGGGGCATAATGAGACCATGGCACAGTGTGGATTAAAAAAAGGGAATATTTTTGTAGCTATTTAATGGTATTGGCTTACAGGGACAGTGGGCCATATGGCACAAGACAATGGCGGTACCTTGTAACTCCTCCTGTTCTGGCCAGAGTCTGGAATTACCACTTCAAATCCCAGAGCCCTGTTACGGAGGCATGAAAGTGGCCAATGTAAACGCTCCCCACTCGGGCAGTGATGGGACTGAGGTGCCAGGCCTGTGAACTGATTTCAGTGTTCATTGCCAGTCCCTTCAGTGGGGCACCATTTAGAACAGATGCTGCTATCTTGGCATTACTGTTACTTGGTACCAGGGAATGCCTGCTGAAAGGACGCACGTTTTGCTTCTTGGATGGTCAGGGCCATCCCGAGTGGGGGTGCGGGGCCTGGGCAACTCCCCTGCCACAGGCCCCGCCCACCGTGGCTCCACCCCTTCTCTAAGCCCCACCCCCTATCCTGAGCAATTGGCCCAGGGGATTACAGCGGCCTGGTCTACTCCACCGCACCCTCCTCCCAACCCACTGTACCCCGATTCTCTATGGGGTGGGAAGCAGAGCACCCTGCTTCCTGCCACCACTGAGAAGCCACATGCAGAAGGCTGGGAGAGAGTGGTTAGGGTTGCCAGATACTTTCCCCCAAAATACCAAACATGGTGGGGGAAAAATTGGTTGAGCAAAAAAAAGGGACCACACTTGTTGAGCAAAAAAAAAAAAAAATTTGCCCAAAATAAGGGTCACTGCACCTTTAAATCCCAGCACTACACACTCCTCGCTTCCCCAGCCCAGGGGAGGAATGTCCCAAATGGCTTTCCATCCGAGACAAACAGAAAATATCAGACATTTTACATGTCCGGTATTTTCTGTTTTTTTTTTACTGGACAGAGGCCACAGATACCAGACTGTCTGAACCACTACCAGACACCTGGTGGTGTGCCCATGTGGTGAGGGGGGAGCGACCCCTGCTGCTGCTGGACCAGGTCCCATAATTCCCTGGGTCCCTCCTGTCCATAGGATGGTTGGGGAGGCCGCTGTGGGGTCTGATGAGGCTGCCTGGATTCGTTCGATGGGCAGGCCTGCTCTGTGCAGGAGACCACCCAGGGGCACGGGGCAGTGAAAAGGATGGTTGGCTAACCAGACATTTCAGAGGGTCGTTTTCCACCGACTTAAACGGTGGTAACAAAATTGATAACTGCTGGAAATCTGACCCATAAACATTAGAGAAGCTACGTTCATTAGCATGCTTTGGGGGCCTGGCCTTGTAACATCTTGGCTACGTTATGCACATGCCCGATTTTCCACTCACGTTTCCCTTTTAAAATTGAGAAATGTCCAGAAAAGACAGATCACCCGTCAGACTTGGGAGATCTGGGTTAAAGCCCCGGCTCTTCTCCAGACTTCCTGCGGGTCCTTGGAAAAGCCAGTTAGGCCCAGATCCTCCAAATATCTACACAATTGACTCCCATTGATTTCAGTGCAGATTAGCCACCCAACTACCTCTGAGATCCAGGCTTCAGGGCTTGTCTCCCTGGATGTTTGCTTTGTGACTCTACCTCACACTGGGTAGCTGCATCCATCTGTCTTAGGGTTGCCAGATACTTTCACAAAAAATCCCGAACATGGTGGAAAAAAAAATCGGTTGAGCAAAAAAAAAGAAAAAGTCACTGCGTCTTTAAATCTCCCCGCAACCTCCCGCCAGGCATGGCAGGAGAAGTCTTTAAGTCTCCCCGCAACCTCCCGCCAGGCATGGCAGGAGAAGTATGTCTGACATAATGCAGAAAATATTTTCTGTTTTTTTTTTTACTGGACAGTGGCCACAAATACTGGACTGTCCGGGTGAAAACTGGACATCTGGCAAGCCTAATCCATGTGGACCCTGCTGACGCACACTAACGGTTCCTTCGTGCACTTGGCTCGAGTCTGGTTTCCAAGAGGGTTTGATCAAAGAACCTTAGTGGGCAGTTAGTGCGGGTCAGCAGGCGAGCCTGGGTTAGAGCAGTGGTTTTCAAACTTTTTTTCCTCCTGACTCAGTTGAAGAAAATCGACTAGAGTGTGGACTCCAGGGTGGGGGCGAGGAGAGGAGCTTTGGGGCGTAGATAGGGGCTCCAGCTTTGGGGGAGGATCAAGGCTGGGGGAGGAGGGACTGACCTCGAGCCGTTCCTGGTCGCTCGGCAGTGCAGCAGGGGAGCTAAGGCAGGTTTCCTGCCTCTCCTGGCACCACAGACCAGGCTGCGCCCCAGGCAGCAGGTTCCCAGCCAATGGGAGCATGGAGGTAGTGCTCAGGGCAGGGGCAGTGGGTGGAGCGCTGTGCGCATCCCCTCCTTCCCCCACACTCAGGAGCCGGGCCTGCTGCTGTACATTTCTGGGGTGCAGTGCAGTCTGCGGGGCCAGCACAGGCAGGGAGCTGCCTTCCCCACCCCACTGCTCACCTGATCCCCCTGCAGCAGCGAGTCCCAGGCGTGAACCGTCGTCTGAACACCACAGGGTTAGAGTCGCATTCTAGCTGGCCACAAACCTGTCAGTGAACCAGTGAGACGCAGGATGTCTCAGGGGTGCTGTGAGGCCCAAGGCAGCACTGGGAGGTCGGTGCTCTGCTAATGCCAGGCACGTATTTCTGCAGGATGGTTTAATAGATTAACGTTTAACATGGGAAATGCCGACCGCAGGTTGTGCAATGGTGCTGGGTCACCGATGGGTTCACTGGCCTCAGATCAAACCCCAGCACCCTAGGGCTGAAAGTTTGACTCAGGCCAGACCATCTTGGGCTTGTGAGACTCGGGGAGGGGGGAGGGGAAGAAGTTGGGAGGGGAAACGAAACAGAGAGAACGACTCGAATGAAAACCTCCAGCGAGACGGGGAGCAGAGAGCGCAGGCGGAGTGGAATCTCGGCAGAGAGGGGTAGAAAGGCCGCAGGGGGGACACCGAGATGTCAAACTAGGAGAGAAAATGAGCCCAATTCTCCGTTACTCAGTTTCTGTCTTTGGGGCAGAGTTGCGAGAGTCCCTGGGTGGTTTCGCCGTCCCCTGCAGGATGGGGCAGAGGTCCGTCGCTGGCTGCACTGGAATACCCGGTGGGCTCTCTGTAACTTTCAGAATTTCAATCAGGAGTTGAGGGTGTCTGTAACCCAGCCTGAGGGAAGGGGCCTATTGCAGGAATGGGTGAGTGAGGGTCTGAGGTCTGCGAGGTGTAGGAAGTCAGTTTAGCCTAGGGTCCTTTCTGGCCTTGAAGTCTGAGTATGTGACGAGGGGGATTAAAGTATCTGGCTTTAAGCCTCTGGTGGATCCTGCAGTTTCCCGTTGAGCTCCAGTGTAAGCTAGAGCTGCCCCAGGGCTGCTTTAACTTCAATTTTGCTTCCTGGCCCCCCTGGGCTCTGTGAAGCAGAAAATAACTTTGTGACCTGGCTACATCTCTGCTCCACTTCCTACCCACCCCCGATCGACCCCCTGCCCCACCACCGAGCTGGCCAACCCCATGTCAGAGCACCCTCGTGCAGGGGCATTTCCAAAAGGGCCCGTTCTGCCTCGTTACACTGCCAGAGGGGCAGAAGCAGGTCGGAAGAGAGCTGTGGAGTGGATCCCAACCCACCCCGGCTTTGGGGCATGCTCTTTCCTTCACACGGAGCGTGGGCTACCCCGGAGCTTTGATTTGCCCATCCAATCCAGTGATCTCCAGCAGCGTCTAGGAAGAGGCAGGAACGTGGCCCCGCCGTTTGGTGGCGGAACCAGCAGGAGCGTGGGTAGTAGCGCTGGCTCTGACACGGCTCCCTCTTGTCCTGTCGAATGTCAGAATCCAGCTGCTGTGGCGGGGGGGGGGGGGGGGGGAGGGGGGGGGGTTTTTCTGTCTCGTTAGCAGCAGCCGTCAGCTTAATCCTGGTCTGTTTAGGCCTTGACATTGCTAGGGAGAGCCCCAAACACCACCCGCCAGCAAGCACTGAAGGGGCTCAGAGACACCCGGGATCTAGCTGGGTGACAGGATGACCCAGGAGCGGCCTGAGGTCGGCTGTAGCCTCAATGGCTGTGATGTAATCATAGGGCACCCGGGCCGGCGGTGCCCTAGGTGACCGCCTAGTCTGCCTAGGCTCATGGGCCGTCCCTGGGCTGACCTAGAGCAGTCCATCCAATTGCCACTAGCAGCGGGACACACACACACACACACACACACCCTTACCTCAAGCCCCCCACATTTCACTTCACAATTTTTTTACAAGTACTGTCATATTGCAGCCACCCCTCTGGGGGAGGGGTTGAAACATGACAGAATCTGCAAGAAACCTGTAGGAACCTGCTGTGTCACTAAATGAAACAAGCTAACTTGGCAGAATGGAGCTAGGATGCTGACTGGTGAACTCTCTCCAGTTATGGTAGTTATTAGGCCCCCATTCCTGTAACATCTCAGAGTCTCACATTTTTAATGTATTCATCCTCACAAACCCCTGTGTGACAGTGCTATTTCCTGTTGTACAAATGGGGAACTGAGGCATAGAGAGGTTAAGTGACTTGTCCAAGGTCACACAGGAAGTCTATGGCAAAGCAGGGAATTGAACCAGAGTCTCCCATATCAGAACCCTAAAAACTCACCATCTCTCTCTCTCTCTCTCTCTCACACACACACACACACACACACACACCCTTACCACTTCACTCACTCACACACACCACCCCTAAACACACACATCCTCTACCTCTTCTCTCTCTCTCTCTCTCTCTCTCTCTCTCTCTCTCACACACACACACACACACACACACACCCCATCTCACACTACTCTTGGATAACAGCACTGCCTTGCTTTCTAGGCATGTGTGGGAGGGTAAATACATTAAAGATCATGAGACACTCAGGACTGGTCTACATAGTGGGCAAAGTCCAACTAGATCCAGCAACTTTGAGCCATCCCTGCGCCCCGGGCAGCGAGCACACGACGCATGTGTGGCCCCGCCCCCCGGCGCTCTGCACACCTTACAGCTGCAATCAGGCACGCGGCCCCTTACAGCTGTCATCAGGTGCCCCCCATAGGTTGGCACCTCAGGCAGCTGCCTAGCTACCTCCCCCCTTAATCCTGCCCTGCCCCCCTCCCACATACCTACCTCTTCACACACACACGCATGCACACACACCCTGCCCCTCCCCTTCGCAGACACACAGTCCAAGGCAACATCTGAGGTCTCTTCTGCTGCTGACATATATATACAAAATTGCCAAACATTTTGCAACAGCCCATTCTGAGACAGGCTGGAAAAACCAGTTAGCAGGAGAAAACAGTTCCCAGGGCTGACAAATTGGTCTCCCCGAATGCTGCAAACTAGGCGCTGATGTCGCTGTGCAGTGGGGAAGGCCAAGAGCAGGGAGACAGGACTTGCTACCAAGGCAGAAAAAGCAGTTATAGAATGACTGACTCACCAGAAATCCCACAGGGCAAAATCCGGCATCCCTGAGTGATTAGATTCAGGCAAAGTCCTTGCGTAGGGACTTTTTGAGCTGTAGCTATTAACATTTTGGCTGTAGAAGCCAAGCCTGTGAACAATTCAGTGAGTGTGTCCTACCTGTAAGTGTATGTAACAACTCCTCCTCTGTACCCAGTAAGCAGAGATTAGGGATCTATTACTACCCTGGTAGGTCACGCTGCTTGCACTTTAACTCTGGAAGTTCCTGTTTTGATTCACGGGTGGCGGAGCCAAATTAGGAAAGTGAGTCTGTAACAGGAAAAGCTTAAAAAACAACAGTCTAGTAGCATCTCACAGAATTGTTGTTTGTAACAGGAAAAACTTAAAAGACTCACTCGGCTATCCCTGTGAAGCTTATCTACTCACTGTCTTTTTTTCTTTCTCCCTTTCAATTTTTTCCCTTCTTCCCCTCTCTGACTTCCTTTATTTATTCTTGGATCTGGACATCCAACACTCTGGTCATCTGAAGAAGTGGGCTGTGCCCACGAAAGCTCATGATACCATCTACATGTTTTGCTAGTCTCTAAAGTGCCACTAAACTATTTGTTGTTTTTAAAGTTTTTCCTTGTTTTTACTGAATTTCAACTTGTTAAAATTCAGACCAGTTCTCCAGTTTGTCAAGGCCACTTTGAATTTTAAACCTGTCCTCCAAAGTGCTTGCAACCCATCCCGACTGGGTGTCCTCTGCAGATTTTACAAGCGTCCTCTCCACTTCGTTCTCCAAGTCGCTAGTGAGAATGTCTCTTAGCACCAGACCCAGAACTGACCTCTACAGGCCCCCCTAGACCGGCTTTCCTGATTTGAGCACAAGCCATTGATAACTACTCTCTGAGCATAGACTTTCAACCAGTCGTGCGCTCACTGTGCAGTAATTACATCCAGATCACATTGCCCTAGTTTGCTTATGAGACTGTCATGCTGAACTATGTCAAAAGCCTTACTAAAATCAAGGCATAGTCCATCGACCGCTTCTCCCCATTCCCTAGGTCAGTAACCCCATCAAAGAAGGAAATTAAGTTGGTTTGTCATGATTCATTCCTGACAGATCTGTGGTGACAATTCCTTGTAACCTCATTATCCTCCGGGTGCTTACAAATCAGGAAGTCAAGGGAGGCTGATTGGTCTATAATTGCCCAGGTTTTCCTTGTTACCTTTTGTAAAGATAGACCAGGAACTATCTTCCGAGCCCCTCTTCTCCCTCGCGAGGAGGAGCAGTTCTATCCAGCTGTCCCAACTCCATCTCTGCAGCCAGTAGCCTGGTGCCTTCAAGGGTAAGAGCTCTTGTCCCATATTGCTCGGTGGTGGCTGCGACTGTAACACTTCCTGGAGGATGGATGGCAGCCAGCCAGTGGTCAGCCTGTACTCTGATCTGCAATGGAGAGCTGAGTGTCTAAGAGCCAAGGAACTGAGGTGCACAGCATGGCTGGTTGGCAGTGGGGCTAGGACATGAAGCAAGGGCCCGATGGAGAACCATCTAGTCTAGGGAGGATTTGAGGGTCACGCAGGGTAACCAAAGTCAGGGGCACCCGAGGCTTCCTAAAAGTGTGTGTGGGACCCAGCAG